GGGTTTGAACCCAGCAACTGCTCCGAAGGAGAAGGATGAGGCTTTCTGCTCCCTTAAAGAGTGACCGTCTCAGAGACGCACAGGGGCAGGTCCACCCTGTCCTATGGGGTCGCTAGGAGTCAGAAAGGAAGCAATGGCTGGGTTTGGGGGGGTGAGTTGAACTGACTTGAATGCACGGGGTGGTGGGTAGTCTGTGATGCGTGGAGAACATCACGGAAAGTCTGAAATGCCGTGACCATGGCCAGTGGGTGACCAGAGACACCAAGTGAGCCCAGCTGCTGAACAAAAAGGAACAAGAAAAGCGGCCCAGGGTGATTGGGCCACGGGACTTACCGGACCTCAGGAACGGCTTGCCACACAGAGGGCAGCTGGAATGGCCACAGAAGGTCCCTCGCACCAGCTGGTGCCCGTTGACACACTCCCACCTCTCTCGAGCATCCTGCCCCTTGTCCTTCAGGTGCAATGGGCTCTTACCCTGCGGGGGGCAGGTGGCCTCAGAAGAGTCAGCTCTGTGATGCCCTGAGCCCCAGCGTCCCATCCCGCAGGTGTGCCCCAGTCCCCCCACCCCGCCATGAGCTCAGCCCGCTGACCTTCTCCTTCTGCCTGGTGACCCGGCTGCGGAGGGAGCTCAGACTGCGTTTCACCTTGGTGCCTCTGTCGGTGCGCTCCGCCCTGCCTCCACCGTCCTCGCTCCTGAGGGGCAGGAAGGTCACGCCTGGAGTCCACCCGAACCTGTCTTCCTGAGGCCACCTGTCCTGTCCTGCCTTACTCTTTCCTGGACCGTGGCCACCCGCCCTCCCCGTGCCTCTTGCGCTCACTCAGTCAAATCGACAAACACCGAAGGGTGCTTTCCAAGTTCCAGGGGAACCCTGGGGATCAGGTTTGCAGATGAGGCTGTGGTCCCCTCTGGGCCCTCCCTCTGACTGCCCCCCTCCCCACTGTATCTACTCAGGGCAGCCCCATGAGTGTCAGAGTGGACTGTGCTCTGGTGTGTGTGTGTGTGTGTGTGTGTGTGTGTGTTTCGATCTCTGTTTTCTGAATGAGATCACCAGGTCTTTCTTCTGAGGGACTTCTGGGTGGATTGAACCACAAACTTTTCAACAAGTCACCGAGT